ATACCCTGAGAAACGCATGGTCATTCTGAACAAAGGGAAGGTGTCTGGAAAGGGGGCTTGGCGGTGCAGCCCTCTTCCCAAACTGAGAGGAGTTATACTTCACCCACCATGTCCTTCAAGGGTCTGAGAAGGCAGCTGCTTGAGTCCCCAGAAGAAAACAGACATGCCCCCTGGAGTCCTAGCCATGAGTCCACAGAAGTTTCCACAGCAGCAGAAGGGGGCTGTGATGCGTGGGCCCAGCAGGGCTACTGAGCGCCTGCCACCGCACAGGTGTGGCTATGGGGCCGCACGTGGGCTCACCTGGCTCTCATGAACCTGCCCCCGCCGTGGCTGCTGACCCAGGTGTGGAGGTAGCCTTGGCTCAGACAGCCCTGCGAACCCCTGCCCCAAAGGTGTCTCCTGAGTTAGGTCTCCCTGCTGTGTCTGCCACCACGTCTGTCCCCTCACAGACACAGGCCAGTGGCTGATCTGGTGCTAATTTATGCTAACTGCCCCGGATGCAGTGCATCAGAGCACAGGGGTCTCTGCCACCCAGAAAGGGAGTGAGGATGTGACGGTTTCTCGGTCCTAACAACTGGAAAAACACAATAGATTTTAGCAAGAGAGGGAGAAGGCAGGTTTCTTGGAGGAGGATCTTGAGATCACATGAACCCTAATCAGAGGGGTGGCATGCTCTTGCTGACCATGAACCTCACTCCAGAACTCACAGCTGGTCCTTTCCTTGTCGCAGCCGCACGGAGCTGACTGCTTAGACGCGCTACTGCCCTGACAAGCAGGACGAGAGAACAGATCCTGAGATCACTGAATTGCTTGCTTCTGGCTTCAGACAAAAGCACAAACCTGAGCTGGAAGACCACGCGTGGGCACGGCTGACCAGGAAGGCGCTGGCCTCTCGGGACGCCGAGGGTGGCCCCGCTGCGAGGCGGCTGCGTCCAGCCGGCTAAGAAGTTGGTGAGGGACATGGGCCCACGACAAATGAATAGCTTCACTTGCAATTTCAAATTTAGCTTGCTTTCTCACTACATTTTCAGGTAACCAGGAATCAGGGAAAAGTCTGTATTTACCCTCCTCTTAATAAACTGCGATAATCTTCCTTTCGTTGAGTTGATGCAACCTCTGACATCGGGCCCCTCTTGCCTGAAGACCCCGTCAGCACTCCGGGAAGACCACCGAGGAGAGCCTGGCGTGCCTTCTCAGGGAAGGTGTTGTGCTGGCTGACCAAGGAGTCTTCCCTCCGCTCTGGTGCCAAGGGGCTGCCGGCTGCAGGGAAGATTTTCTCATCCTGCTGGTTTTCACCCCTTTGACATACAGGAGGGTATGGGATGGTCTCTAAAATTCCTGGATCTGTGGCATGTACCTTTCATTTTTAGAAAGTTCTTGGCTTTTATTCCTTTAAACGTTCTTCTGCCTGTCATCTGTCTCTCCTCCAGTCTCCAATGCTCCCCTCTTTCCTTCCCCAACTCCATGTCGCGGCGGGCACCTCCAGGCTGAGTCTGTTTGCCCGGCTGCAGGCCCAGCAAGGATGCCCTGCTCGCAGCGCCTCCTTCTGGCCCATCTTTCTAGCTTCTCTGTGGGCTGGGACCCCTGACAGACCCCTTCCTGTATTTCAGAGCCCTTACCTGATGGTTCCAACATCGGGGTCACCCCCATTGACTGCTGCATCTCTTGACAATCCACTGTCAGCAGGTACATTTTTTTTCTTGGGTGTATGTCTAGAAATTTTTATGTCAAACATTGTGTACAAAAACAGTAGTTCATGAAGGGACATAACCACCCAGAAACAAGCAATTGCAGTGAGGCTGCAGTCAGGTGGGATGGGGTGCTGGGAATGGGGCCATAACGGCCAAAACAGGCTGTGCTTGGGTTTGTGGCTGCCATCAGTGCCCTCCGTGACCGTGACCACAGGCTGCTACTGCCTCCAGCATGGGGCCTGGGAGCAGGCTCTCTCACCGTCGCACCCCTGCCTGCCCACCCGCCTGCCTTCCTGCCCTCCTGCCCTCCTGCCTGTGGGCCGCCGTGTCAGCACAGGGTGGGAGAAGGTGCTCTCAGCCCCTGGCCCAGCTTCACCCGCAGCCTTGGGGTGGCCCTTCCTAGCACTCCTGCCGACCCCCTTCGCCCCACTCGGCAACACCCCAAGCTGTGTGGATACACAATCGGGGGCCCTTGTCTGGGACACAGCCTCTGCTTCTTCCTGAGTGGCTCCCGGCTTCTGCTCCTTGTATGAGCGGGGAGCGGGGTCTGTGGGCAGTCACTCCCCTCCTGCCCGTGCCCCCAGGGAGACCCTCCTGGCCTCCTGCCCTGCCCCAGGACTTCTCACACAGGGAGACCAGCAGACCAGAGGCGGAGCTGCCGCATCTGGGACAGTTGTTGGGGGGCCTCTCCTTGCCCTCTCGCCCCCAGGGCTTGGCCCAATGTGAAAGGTGAAACCAGTCACGGCCCCACCCTCCTGAGCCAGTGCTGGGCATTCTGACCCTGCGGCTGCTCCGCAGACTCGCCGGTGGTCCTGACATCACTCTGCCCCTGCTCTCTGTCGGATGGGAGAGCAACCCCACATGACGGGATCCCTTCTCAGTGTCAGCCTTGCTGATGGCCAGGACGTGGCTGCTGGGCCTTGCAGTGTCCCCCGTGCACGTGACAGGACACGTTACCGGTTACCTGGGTGAGCCGCTCGTTACCACCTCCTGAGCCAGGGGCCAGGCGGCGCCGCTCAGGCCATCCTCGCCTGTCCCCCTTCTCCGTCCTGCTGCTTTACCCCTGGGGGTCGGTGCTCCTACCCCCACCGGGAACTGCCGGTCCCCTCTAATTCCTCCACTCTCTCCCGTCACGGGCTCTCAGCTCGGAGTGTCTTCCTGACGCAAGCCTCTGGACACGTCCCGGTGCTGCTGGGTCCTCAGCTCCGTCTGCCGGCAGACACTCTTCTAGTGATTGCTCGAGGGACTACAGTGCACGTGCTCAGCCTTCTGTAACTCTCCTTCACATTGTGCAGCCTCGCAGGAAGGCTGGGTGGCCTCGGTGTCAGCTCAGGCCCCAGTCTCAGGGTCGTGGGATCAAGCCCTGTGTCAGGCTCTGCGCTCAGTCCCAAGTCTGCTAAGTGTCTCTCTCCCTCTGCCCCTCCCTGCCTGCATGCACAATCTCTCAAATAATAAATAAATCTTTAAAAAAAAAAAAGGCAGGGGGAGCCTGGATGGCGCAGTTGTTTGACCATCTGACTCTTGATCTTGGCTCAAGTTGTGATCTCAGGGTCCTGGGGTTGAGCCCTGTATCAGGCTCTGTGCTAGAGGGGAGTCTGCTTCAGGATTCCCTCTCTCCCACTGCCCCTCCCCGCCCTGCACTCGTGCACACACACTGTCTCTCTCATATAAATAAATAATATATTTTTAAAAAGTTGTGCAGCTTCAATTAAGGCATGGAAACCCGCAACCATGTGGGCCCACCCGCCGCGCTCCCTCAGTCTGTCAGGTGTGTCTGATCTGGGAGCACCATGAATCTCAGAGGGCAAACAACCTATTTCGCTTTAAACGATCAGGTGTGCTGTCAAGAAAGTAAAGAGGAGGAATGGAGGCTTCCACGCTGACCTGCAGATTCCCGCTCTCCGAGCTCGGCACTCCTGCCGGAAGCCCGGCTTTCCCTCCCATCCCTCCCGTGTGGCCTGGAGCCCAGCACTGGTGCCCCAAGCCTCTGGACACTGAGTTCTCTCACTCCCCTGAATCTGAAGCCTCCATCCCCACACAGGGTCCAGGTTCCCATGTCAGCACCGAGGTGCACGGGCCCACTGCTCCTGAGCACTCAGGGCCATGTCCCTGTTTTCTCCTACTGCTTTCAAAATGCTCCCTTTCCCCTGGGTTTTCAGCAGCATGTGGACGACCTGGGAGGCACAGCCTCTTCCCGTTCATGCTGTGCGAGGTTCACTGGGCTATCTGGGTCTGACATCTGTGTCTTGTACCACATCTGGAAACTTCAGCCACCTGTCCCCTCTCCCCAGGGCTCCATACACATGCCACCAACCTCTGAGCTCTCCCCATGGGCGCCTGAACTCTGCGTGGCCTGGGTGGCCTCCAAGACCCCCTCCATCCCCCACTGTCACCCCCACCCTGCCGGCCAGCCCATCCAGGGAGTCTTTCATTTCAAATACTGTATTTTCCACTTGGTTCTTTTCTCATCTTATCAGTTTCTCTCCTGAGAGCTCGTTTTCATTCATTAGGGCCTCATGCCCAGTCACGCAAGCTGTGCTAGACCCTGGGGACTCCTCGTGTGGTTGGGGAGTCTGCCTGGGTACCAGGGGTGTTGGGTTGTGGGGCATGTGGGTTGTCATGACACCAGGAGCAAGCAGTCGTCTCTGTGGTATCAGCACGTAGGTGGTTTGACCCAAAGGGAAGCTGTGCCATGCCCAGCCCTGTCCACTTGGGGGCTGTCCTCTGCTCACCCCCGCCACAGCCTTGTGCCCACTGCCTACTCGTTTCTGAACAAACCCTACTCCACATGGTCATTCTGGGTGCACCATTCCCCACAGAGCACGGGCTGGGGGAAGCTGAAGTCCTCCCCTTACCAAACCAACCAGGAACCTGACCGCCTCTGGGCTGTCCGCCAGTGTTAGCCCCGGGCGAGCCCCTCCACAGAGTGTGGAACTTGGCACGGCCTAGAGTGGGGAGGGGCTGGCCTGCAGGATGGCCTGCCCTTCACCCAAGGCACAGAACTGGTCCATGACAACACTGTGTGGTCACTGCTGTGGGACTATTCATCGCAGCTGTGTGCAGACTACCATCTACACAAACACACCTGAACATCACCAGTCTCCTTGTCTGCACTGGTCCACCACTCTGGGCAAGGAAGCCAGCGTGGGCCACAATTCCAGGTTAAATAACAGACATCAGACAACACGGTCACACCTGCTAAGCTGATGACAGCGGCTCAGGCAAGGAGAAAAGCAGAAAAAGCGCATGAATACATACCCCACATACAATGCTAAACTCCCACGGAGTATGTTTCTGATTTTCACTTACCAAATGAATACCTAAAAAACAAAAGGAGAAAAATGTATTAAAATTTTGCCTTGCTGGGGTGCCTGGGTGGCTCAGTTGGTTACGTGTCTGCCTTCAGCTCAGGTCATGATCCCAGGGTCCTGGGATCGAGCCCCATGTCGGGCTCCCTGCTCAGTGGTGAGTCTGCTTCTCCCTCTGCCTCTGCCCCTCCCCCTGATCGTGCTTGCTCTCGCTCTCTCTGTCAAATAAATAAATAAAATCTTAAAAAAAATTTTTTTGCCTTGCTTTGTCAAAAAATTTACAAGATTAAAGTATCATGCTACCCAACTAGGTAAAGCCCAACTCAGTGACTCCAGGACACTGTGGGTCAGGTCACAGACCCCATGGACATTAAATGCGGTGGGAGAAGGTGGGGCGGGGGAGACCTGCCCTCAGGTGCTCTGTGAGGGGCCCAGCCACTGCCCAGGCCCCATCCGACACAGGGGTCTAAGGCCATGCCCACAACAGGCCAATCAAGAAATCTTTTAGGAAAAAGCAAACATAACAGTGGATATTTGGTGGTAAATCATTTCTGCAAGTAATCGAACACCATGAAAATGTCCTACCCTAGAATTTGAAAGTTTCAAGGATGCCCAGTACCCCGAGCACAGATTATCACAAAGGGGACCCTAAATGGAAGGCATTTGGTCTCCACAGCAGGGGGAGGAAGGGCTGTCTTCACCGTGGAGTGCGATGGGAGCAAGGGGTCCTCAGCAGCACACAGGCGCCTGGTGCGCAAGGCCACTGCTCCCACAGAACCGAAACGGCCCCACTCTGCTCCCTGAACCTCATGGAACTACAGCAGGAGTTATTTCTATGCATCAACTCCACCGTCAGTTGATACTCAGTGACACAACATCTGGGCTCTGGGCAAGGTTCAAGGCAGAGCTCTGGGTGGCAGGGCTGCGGGCTGGGGCTGGGTAGTGGTGCGGGGCCTCACGGAGCGCTGTTGAGTTTAACACAAAATGAGGTTTTCACAGTCAGAGGGAGCAGCCATGCAGCGCATCCCGTGGCACTGACCCTGACCCCTGCGCCCCCCACGGCCCTCTGGCATCTGCTCTTCACGCTCTTTGAAGTACAGGCTCTGTCCTCTCTCTCAGAGGGACATGGCAAAGGCGGCTTCCTCCACAGGAAGGGACCCCCTGAGCCTCCCCGACCTTGGTCCAAGTTTCTGGAGATAATCCTTTCTTCTTTTGGGGGGCCAGGAAGGTGGGGAAGAGAAAAGACAGTCACACAGCCGTCCTCGCTAGCAACAAAGGAGCCCTTTAGGAGCACTGCCAAAGTAAAGCACAGATAAAAGGATCAGAAAGCCAACGTTTTGGAAAACTGATGCTAAGTGGGGCGGTTGGAGCAAAGTCACAGTTAGAGGTTCCAGTGTTCAACCAGGTTCCCCCGTTGGGAGACGTTCAGAGCTGGTGCAGCAAGACTCTTCTGTAAACTCACTCAAAATTCCTGCGGCTGTGGCTACTGAACTCTGCCTCTCTCTTCCAATGTCACGGGTCCCCAGGGCAGTTAAGGCCCTAGAGCAAGAGGACAGACACCCAAAGCCCCACAGTGACACAATCAGTGACTGAATGGATAAACACACAGGGCCAGGGGACCCGACTCCCCTGCAGAAGAGTCCCAGTCCCCAGCGCCCCGCCCCGACGCGTGGCAGCCGGGACCTGGGCCGGGAGAGGAGGGGCAGCTGCAGCCAGATGAGTCACGTCGACGGCACTGACCCTGACATGCCGCACCACGTGGAGGAGGACGCATGGTCTCCGTGGCCTTCTCCCCAAACCCACAACCCAGTCCAGTCATGAGAAGAGCATCAACCAAGGCCCAGTGGAGGGACGTTCCACAGCATCCCTGACCAGTCCTCAAAGCCGGGGAGTCAGAGACACTGTCCCAGCTCAGAGGAGCCCCAGGGGACGTGATGCCCAAATGTCCTGTGGCTCCTGGAGGGGATCCAGGGACAGAAGAGGTCAGTGTTAGCTCTTTAAACCTGACAAGGAGGAGGCTGACAATACACGAAGCTGGGTGGGGGTACACAGGAATTCTCTGTACTGTCTCTGCAATAATTCTGTAAGCCTACAACTATTCCAAAAATGAATTTTATTCAATTAAAAGGAAAAGGGGAAGCAGCTACACAGCAACAAAATCTGTGCCTGTGGAGAGAAGTGCCTCCAATGCTGCTGGGTCCTCACCAGCAGCGTTTGGCGCCCGTGCAGGCTGGGCCACCGGAGGGACTTGCTAGCCCCAGCAGGACCGCACAACTTCCTTCCACTGAACGAAACCTCTGGGCTCTGGGCAACGTGAACAGCAGACAAACTCAAGTTCTCAGCAAGAACAACACATGCGCACGGTGCGCTCAGACGTGCCTACCACGGCCCACTGCGTCTGAGGACCAGGGACGCATCAGCTGGGCAGTGGGGGGCTGCCTGCCAGCCGTGTGCCCCGGCCGCCTCATCCCAGGCCCCTTCTTGCTCCATGCAGTCCCAAGGTGCCGCCTCCCTGTCTCACCCGACAGATGATGCTGCGCCCCTTCCAACAAGGCTTCCCTTGTTAATTAAGCAAGTGGAACCACCTGCAGTCATCTCTCTGCCCCCTCACTACACAGCCTCAGGTATGGGACACCCTTGTGCCGCTCCTGTCCCCCCAGAGCACCAGGAAATGAAAACCTGTTCTAACTACACTTGACAGCTGATGATGCAAAGGGGGCAACTGCGAAGTGGGAACCCCCAAGGCCCCTCAGCAGCCCCGCATGGGCTTGCCCTGCATCGGCGCCCTGACTGCTGGCTTGCAGCTGCCTCCAGGAAGAAGCCCTGAAGGGACATGGAGCGTCCGGTGCCAAGCATCGTTCATATTTCCTGTCCACTCAGCTTTCGTGCATGAGCAAGGCCTGCCTGGCATCTGCTGCGTCCCTCCCTCTATTCAGCCAAGACAGAGCAAAGCCTGAGCCTAAGATGATGCCACAAAGGAAATGACCTTCCTCCTGCCTCACCCTCCTGCACACCAGCACAGCCCCAAGGCAGTCCCAGGACTTGTGCCCCTGCCCCTAGCTACTTCCTGCAGCACCCGGGATGCTCTCCTGGGGCCACTCTCCTGGGGACGCTCTCCTGGGGCATGGGGTTCCCGTTCCCTAACAGGGGCCACAAGTCCCGGCCTCCAGGGCCTGAGAGACCACTATCATGCCTGCCCTGGTCTTCAACACGAGGCTGGCGAGGAGGGCAGTAGCCAGAGCACACGGAGAAATCATGATTCATCACCTTAGATTTGCCCAGAATATGAAAACAGTATGTCTTAATTGCCCATAACTGGAACGGCAGAAACCCAAAATGAAGTTGGCACATGCCCTTGACAAAACACAATGCCGTGTGGGAAGCAGAGCTGAAAGCTGTCAGGAACATGGGGCCACACCGGGTGCTGACAGCAGAGGAAGGTTCTGGAAACACTTTGTGGGTAAAATCAGGAGGATGTGAAGTCTGGTGAAACATGGAGGAAGCGGGGAGAGTCGGTGTCCCAAGTTCCCCTGGGTCCCACTGATGAATGTGGAACTACGGCACAGGGGTTCGTGGGGCAGAAGGGGGTGGCCTCGGGGTGGCTGAGCATGCAGCGTGGCAGCGCTCCCTCACAGCCCATGGCTGCCCTGTGCCCAGCCACAGGCCGCACTGCTGCTGGCCCTGCAGCTCTGGGACAGGGCCCACCAGGGTGCAGCTGCCTGGGGCACGGCCCCCAGCTAGCCCCCGGCCTCAGTGCCTCATTCCTATCTGCGTGCCCCCAGGCTCCCTCCAGCTGTGCCTCCTGCAGCCACAACAAGGACTTCATAAAATCAGCACAAACCCCCCCTCCCCGATTCCAAGGGCTTGGGTCATCACTCTACAGAGTGCTCACTGCCTGGAGGGGAGCCACTTTCCCACGGCCACCATGAAGTGGATTCGTGAGCTCCTGCCTGCCATGCAGTGTCAGGAATGAGTCAGGAGAGCGGGCGAAGGGTGGTCATGGTTCCGGAAGGTGCAGGGTGCAGTGTAAGGCTACGTGGCTCTGCCCCACGACATCTGCCTTAGAGACTCACGGTGCCACTGAGCATGAGGTTCACCTGCCTCCCTTGGCAGCAATGCAGGCTTCCCACGTGCCCTGGAGCATGCGTGTGAGATGCTGGGACTGGGGCAGGGGCACCAGTCTGAGCCTGGAGGAAGCTGAGCGGATGCCCACCAGAGGGACAGGACAGACAGAGGGCCTAGTGAAGCAACAGCCACCGTGCACACATGGCAAAGGTGGGCAGACGCAGGGCCGGCAGCGCGGGACCCCAAAGCAAGGCTGCAGTGCCTCGGAGAAGCGCCGTGTGTGCCTGCCCAGTGTGTCCTTGCCCCATGGGGACTTCCTGTCCCTGCCACGGGATGCCACCTGGACAGCACCTGAAAGACATTCTGTCAACAGTATCCATTATCTGAGCGTCTCGCCCCAAACAAATATTCTTTTCTCTCAACTTTAAATAAATGGGACATGCAAGGAACAGTCTGTGTCTAACTCTCATTTTGGGGTGCCAGGAAAAAGAAAGCCTGTTGTCCACGTGAGGGGTCCTCACTTGGTAAGTTTTCAATGTCACTCTGACCCCAAAACTCTCGTCCGTCAGGGAAACCTGCATCAAGGGTGGGGCTGGAAAGACCGCGGAGGCAGCGGGCGCCGGAGCCTCCCCCCACACGGCCCCACATCTGCGCCAAACCAGCAGCTAGCAGCTCGGCTGTGAATGCAGACGTCTGCCTCATGAGCGCGGTAAAGAAACCGCTGGTCTCCGATGACAGATTTTGTTTTCTTTTTCATTTTTCTCCTAGACCATCTCATGCATCATTTCTGAGATGTACTTTTATTTTATTTTGCTTTAGTGAGCTTAAATTAATTTGAATCACATTTTTCTTTTTTACATATCCAAGGGAAGGGGAGCAGAATATCTCTTCCAGTGAAAACAATATAAGACTATTTTTGGCCACCTGTTCCCAAACTCGTTTTCAGAAATTTAAACATGGGGTTAATCTTTCTTGACCATACTCTACACATGACTAGGAAATACTTTTTACAGTAAACTTAAAATCAGAATGATTTCTCTGGTTGCTAGACACGGGAAGGCGTGACCCAAGCCACATGCCACACATGAGGTGTGCCACCTCGCCCGTCCATGGAGTCGGGTGCACTCGCTGTGTGTGCCTAGAACTCTCCCTCCTCCGGCATGGATTAAAATCACACACCTCAAAAAGCAGCAGCCTCTTAAGACATCACAGAAAAACCCAGCCAGAGTCCTCCTGTGTTGGTATACACCTACTGACGGAGAGACTGAAGGCAGAAGGGACTCGGGCATCTGACCCCTGGGAATTCCACTAGGGAAGGAGCAGATGGGGGTGAAGGAGGCATCACACCTCACAGCTGCTTGACGAGCAGGAGGCACACGGGACAGTCACCCGGACCCCACCCAAGGAGCCCCAGCCCCTATTTCCACCCCCACAGTCAACAGTTAACACGACAGAAGGGCCCCGGGAGTGGACGGAGCAGAGGGGTTTTCAGGGTGACGGAGATGCCCAGACTTCCTTGCCGCAGACTGGATCTGCAGGATGGGCCTCCTGCATGCATGCCGAGTGTCCTCCACACCTGTTCTACCCAGTGCAGCACTGACCGGCACTTCCCACAGCCAGGAAGAGGACCAGGCAAGAGTCCAGCCCAGACTCCTCTCCAAGTGGCGCACACCTGCACACAGGGACCAGGGTGCAACTGCACTCGGGGGAGCTGAGGGGGGCTGTCAGACAGCCTCCAGCCCATGGCCACAGCCCTGAGGGACCATTCAAAATAGACCTGCAAGATGGGACTGAAGGTAAGCTCCATGTACCCAGGCGGAGACGGTCTGGGTTAGAGCCCACATTCTGGGGAGACTGCATGAGTCTCTCCATCCCGGACCAGCACTGGAAGGACTATCAGGACACCGAACTTACATTTTTCGCCCAGAGGACAGATGACCCGTTGGTCGGTGCTTAACCTTCTCCATGTCTGCACAGATGCAGACGCCCACATCTACTTCCTACACGTCTGCACAGACACCAATCCCGTCCCAGAGCTTCTCTCAAAACTTTGCCTTTTCTTACAGAGTCTCCCGTGCTTCCTCTGGAGCCCAGAACTGGAAAGAAAAGTGGCATCCCTCTGCTTAAACACACCACAGCAGCCCGTGGCCACTGGACTTTTATCGGGCCCCCTTGGATGGCGGGCTGCCCTGGCACACCCCCCTCGGTTCCCACAGGACTTCTCCAGCCTCGCCGGCTCTGTGGAGCTCCACCACCACCTCTGGCTACTCGTCACGGGAGCTCACCCGCCCCCAGAACAGGGCCAGCCTGATCTGTGACTCCTGGCACTAGTTGGTAATGGTTCCTCCTGAACAAGGGAGGAGCTAGAGCAGGGAGGAGCAGAAGAAACAAGCCTCCAAATCAAGCCCCCACCACCAGAGCACTCCCAGAAGCCCACGGAGGGACCCCACGTCCACCTCACAGGTTCCCGGCCCTAGGAGGCTGACTACAGGCTCTCGGGGGTGGCCATGCCACACCCTACAGAATCGTGATTCTTCCCAAAGGACAAAGTCCCTTGGATTTTGGTCGACTGGCAACTAGCAGACTCTACTACCGCCTAATTGAAATGGCGATGTTCTTCTGAACTAACGTAAGAAGCAAGCTTGCTCCATCTCCCCAGCTGCCCGGAGGCTATGGCTTGTTCTGCGGCCTGTGACGTGCCCGGGCCACGGAATCACAGCACGCCTGGACTCCAGGACTCCACTTCTTCCTGCTTACCAGATCTGTCCCACGTTGACCAGGGACATGTAGAGAACCCAGAGAGTGGCCATGAGCACTATATTGGCACAGCCGGTGACCAGGATGAAAGAAGAGACGCCCAGCCCGAGAAGTGCGAGGGCATCCAGGTTGGAGTCCATGTGTGACCAGTCCAGCAGCCAGAGCACGGTGGGTGCATAGCTCACGGCATCCCAGCTGACTGGGCCCCGGAAATACTGCTGTACATTCTTCAGGTACGTGCGGCAGGGCAGCAGGCCCCGGTCTCCAATCAGCTGCTTGTTCTGATGGAAAGCCACCAGGAATGCCACAACTGGAAGAAAAAGACCAAAGGACCGTGAGCAGGAACACAGCCGTCTGTGGACACCTGCAGGTGGGGGCTTGGCTGGGCGAGAAGATGAGGGGGCATCTGAGCCATGGTTTGGAATCAAAGCAGGGACACAAGAGGTCCAATTTCCAAAATCTCGGGGGAAATACTGGAAGACCCAATCTGGAGAAGCTAGGCTGTGTGCGCACACGTATACAAACCTACATGGGTTGTGTCTACTTACATGTGTCGTGTATGTGTAGGTGAGACAGATGCTGGTGTCACACGTACGTGCAGTTACAGGTGAACGGCCAGGTAAGGACCCCCGACTGCACTCAGCCTTTGTCATGATAACACACATCTGGACGGCCCATGAGGCTGGTCCACGGTGCCCCTCCCAGACGGGCTGCAGCTCACGTGCAAGTCACGACCACCTGCACTCAAACCACTGGTTTCCTTCAAGTCCCACCCCTGCAAGAGCAAGCTGGCATTCTCTAGACTTGAGAGTTTGCACAGAAGTGTGTGCACGGGGATGCTACAGGAGAGGAGAGAGGGCACAGCATTCCCATCTGCGAACGTGAAGAGCAGGGAAACTCAAGGCCCACCAAGGGGAAAGAGCCAGGCAAAAGGCCGTCTCAGGGGCCAGGGACGCCTGCCCGGACGCCCTGTGGGAGCACGCGCACTGACGGACCCAGCTGCACACCCGCAGTCAGCTGCATCACGGGGCAGGGATGGGGTGGAGGTAGAGGAGGGAGCATGGCGGTGGTTCAGTTTCTAGTTCCACATACACTGGTTTAGGCTCCTGGTGTAATGTTCACTGTTGGAAATGTGTGCGACCCTTCATCTAAAGCAAAACTGGCCAGAATCAGCTAAAGTATATGAAGGAAAGTATATGAGAAAACAGCACCAAGGCCAGAGGGAGACGTTGGAACACACTCTTAGAAGGACCGGACGCCACACAGGAAGTGGGGTACTATTACACAGAGGGAGGCGCACATTAATTTAAACTGTTTATTGCAAGTCCTATGGGAGAGCAAATAAAAATTTAAACAATTCTAAGTAATTAATAGAGATATAAAAATGGAATTATAGAAGATGCTAAACCAACCAAAGAGAAGGCAGGAAAAGAGAAAAAAAAGAACAGAAAGAACAAATAGAAAACAACTAGCAATACAATAGATTTTAATCTGTTGCTTTAAATGAGATTGTTCTAAACCCACCAGTAAAGACAGAAATTGTCAGACTGGATAAAAAAGCAGGACTCAGGGGCGCCTGGGTGGCTCAGTCGATTTAGCGTCTGCCTTTGGCTCAGGTCATGATCCCAGGGTTCTGGGATGGAGTCCCACGTCGGGCTCCCTGCTCAGCCGATAGTCTGCTTCTCCCTCTCCCTCTCCCTCTGCCCCTGCTCATGCTCTCTCTCTCTCGCTCACTCTCTCTCAAATTAAAAAAAAAAAAGGACTCAAATCTATGCTGTCTACAAGAAACGCATTTAAAATATAAACACATAAGTAAATTAAAAGCATGGAAAAAGATATATCATACAAATGTTAATCAAAGAAAGTTGACGGCTATATGAATATCAGACAAAGGAGACATAAAAACAAGAACAGTATGAGGGATAAAAAAGGATATTGCATAATGATAAGGAATTAACAAACAGACATAATAATATTAAATGCTCATGAATCTAGCAACAAAACTTATGTATATTTAAATCACCTCACCTAATACATATATGTATATATCCTATATGTATGTTAATTGACTTGACCTAACACTTCTAGATTGCCATCTAGCATAAAAGAGCAAGATACAACAATGTGACATCCTTAGAACACTCTACCCAACAGCAAAATAGATAAAATTTTCAACTATATGTGGGACATTCACTAGGACGCTCCATGCTGTGAGCCATACAGCAAATATCAACATATAGAAAAGAACTGGAATCTAAAAAAAGTGTGCCCTGAACAAAGAGAATTAACCTAGCAATCAGTCACAGGACGTTATCTGGAAACACCCAAATCTTTGGAGATTACACCACACACTCCTAAATAAACCATAGTTTTTTTGTTTTTGTTTTTTAAAGCACAACAAGGGGCGCCTGGGTGGCTCAGTCAGTTAAGCGTCTGCCTTCAGCTCAGGTCATGATCTCCAGGTCCTGGATTTGAGTCCCGTGTAGTGTCGGGCTCCCTGCTCAGCAGGAAGTCCGCTTCTCCCTCTGCCCCTCCCCCTGCTTGTGCACACTCTCTCCCTCTCTCAAATAAATAAAATCTTTTTTTTTTAAAGATTTTATTTATTTATTTGACAGAGAGAGACAAAGCGAGAGAAGGAACACAAGCAGG